TTTTCATAGAAGACTTCCTTACAATTAGAGGGAGGTCTGTATACTCCAACAATATGAAGCCTTGAACTGTCAAGTTCAACAGAAATTGCCGCCAGTTCACAAACACCTTCAACACAGTAATTAGTGACATTTATTGGGAAGAAAGAAACGTCTGGTTTAACGAAGAGGGCCACTCCACCTCTTTCCATTTCAGATCTACAGTACCAACTTGCCGTCACAAAACCATCCAGTTGCAAGATGCCAAGATGGTTAACGTGATGCTCACTAATACACACCACTGCTGGATTCTCTACATGAATGAAAAGCTGGAGGGTTTCCTGGTTTGATACTAAGCCCCGTATGTTCTGATGAAGGATCTTCAGAGACTGATTAAAACAGGAATTGCGTGCATCGACTGAGGTGGAGTCCAAGGAAAAAGCATGGGGTAACAAGGGACGTTGAGCTAAGTTGGGGGATTGGGATGAGGTGTGAGATCGTTTCCCGAAAGGAGATCAGGTATACACGGTATAGGTTCAGGTAAATCAGCTTCAAATATTGGCGTATCAGGGACAGGTCCAGGTTCAGAGGGTTGCGTTTTTACATTATGAGAACTTATCTTTAAAAGAACCTGATGCATTATGAACCCCAGTAAATAATTACCAGTCCTGTTTAGGTGTCTACCATCACTTGCAAGATGATGTAGTCTTAAACAGTGGTTTACATCAACATAATGTACTCCAAAATTGAAACACATCAACTCTATCTGATCATTCAGTTTGCACAAAGAACTATACCTTAAATCACGTCTTACTGGAATGCAATTCAAAAATACATTGGAAGTAGGAAACTTAGATTTAACCGTGTAACTTAGATCTGCCATAGAATCAAGAATAACACGTTTGCCACACCCACCATTATAACCAGATCCACCATTGTAGCGCAAGGGCACATCATTAGTTCCAACATTTAAATAGATAGTTTGAGGCTTTTTGTTTTGATATGACATTAGTTTCTGCTTAATCGAACTTATCCTAGCTCCAGGATTCATATCAACTATAGCACCAGAGTCGGAACACTGCTTGCCCGAATGTCTTAATAAAGAATCACCTATGATCAAACATGTGCTTAAAGGTAACTCAGTACAACTAGGATTACATGATAAATCATTAGCAATCAAGGGACTATTGTTAACATTGTTTCCATCGACAAGTATATTAGACTCTTTTTGCTGGTTGTGATTCGCTAAGGAGACCGGAGACTTAGGTTTCGAAGCTCTAACAACAAGCCTGGTAGTCGATTTGGAAGTCCTCCAGACACCAGAAGCCGTGTTTAAATCACTACAGTCATCAACACTATTTTCACTAAGGGCAGAGTATTTATTTCCGCACACGATTGACATTTCTTTGCGAGGGAGATAATTTTTTATACAACGTTTACTTTTTGATTTTACTAGTTTCCAGTCATCATCTTTACCTTTAACAAGTTTCACAGGGTTAACTTTACAGCTAGTTGCAATGCTATCTAACTTAGGATCAGATAATTGCGGCTGGGTGTGAGAAGGACTACTCGAAAGTGTGGGAGAGTTGATGGCAGGAGAGGGAAGATCAGGAGATACAAAGTTGCAATAAAACCAATCAGCGAATGCTTCCTTACGTCTAGGGGAACAATAGTAGTTGACAATGAACTTTGCATTGACAATTACATTGAGACCGCATTCAAAATCATTTGACTGTTGTTGACATTTAATCTCTGACAGGCTAGATTGTGGTAAATTTAAGTTTGTTACAATATTCATAGCTGAGCTTATGTTAACACCTAAAGCCGAGTCAATGTGATAAGCCTTACTACTACCTCGATCAATAAATAAAAGAGACCAGTGTGAACCAGAGTCAGCTGTCTGCCTAACAACACTGTTGTTTACACAAAGAAACACATACTTGGCTTTATTAAAAGTGGAATTAGTCAAAGTGTCATTAATTGCTTCTGGAGTCCCAACTTTTAACAAATAAGAGACGGCAGGGCTAAACAATAAAATGTCATCTCGACCTTTAACACTATTACCAATAGCTGAAAAGTAATCTGTGATAATATGCTCCTCTACCCATTTATGGGAGCTTGATTTTTTGTGACTTGTACTATTTGCATTGAGTTCAGCGTTACTTAAATCTAGCTTATAACTAAGATTTTTGATTGTTAATTCATTTTTCTCGTTACACTGAGACGAAAGCAAAAGTTTCGCATTAATAACTGTAAGTAACTGAACATCATTATTTGATTCAGAGAGACCACTTAAGCAGCATTTATAAGATGAGTTTTGTTTGTCAATTTTATTTAAAAGATCGCTTATATGCAAACTAAGGTTAGTGAGGTCAAGCTCTGGGTAGTTTGATATGAGGGCGTGTAACTCGGACGTTAAGGCGATGAGACAGACTTGAAGATCATCATCAGTGTCGTTTGTAAACAATATCTCCTCATTGTTGATCATTGTGCCTAACTAAATGTCTAACTAACTAGGACAGATTATTGAAGTCCCATCATTATTGGGGCCGAAGACATGCAGTGCATTGATGGATGTCCGGTTGCGTTGGGGTAGTTGCAGGCGTAGCCCCTAACCAGCCGTAGTTCGAGTGATGCCTAACAGATGGCACAGGCATTCACTTTGTCACTAAGTTCAACAGCTAGTGATATTTCACTATCTACAGTTGGCTGCGGCGCATAGGTAGATGCGCACTAGATCTAATTCGGTGAATGACCAAGCCTATTTTAGTATTTTCCTGATGAGGTCAAGTCAAATATTGAGCTGTAAAAACATTTAGTTAACTTACGGTTCTTGTTAGCTGTTTCAATATTTAAGAAAATATACTAATATAACTATGTAATGTACTGAACCTGTTATAAATCAATAGTAACAAATAAAAATAAAGTTTTTATGCACACCACATACAACTACGCCCATCCATAGGCACTATTATTACCAACCTCCGATACTCAACTACGATACATAAACTATTAATCACATCAACATAAATTATAGAACAAAATAAAATTTATTCACGTAAAATATCAGTAATAGAAGCAAGGCCACTGCCGACATGATCATCGTCCTCATTCCAATCCTTACGCATTTTTGATATCGTTATTTCATTGTGTTTCAACCACTATTTGATTGTGCAAAAACAGTCTGGAAGTAGCATAAATTAATGAGTCGGTTCATTATAACCTAACCTTTACCTTCCTAATCTAACCTCACTTCAAAACACTTAATACAGTCACGAATCCGCATAAAACCCGACCTACCTTCCTCACATGCCTAAATAAGAACTGATTATCTCTGGTTTCTAGTGATGTGGGCCGGGCAAATACCCAGTGGGTAGGTAAATATAAATTGGGTATTTACCTGGGTATTTACCCCAGGCCCGGGTAAATACCCAAAAACTGGGTATTTATAATTTGTATTAAAGTTAGAGAAGATTGAGATGTTTTTTTGCAATTATTACCCTGTAAGGATAGTAAAATGATAATAAAATGTGTTAAACAAAATTTCATATGGACACCACTAGCATTTTACTTCTCGGTATAATCACCATAAATACCCAGGTCTGAGCATAAAGCATAAATACCCTGGTCGCATGGTTGCACTGGTCCTGACTACTTATAATTTTTTTTTAAATTTCAATGATAGATGAATTTATTTTATTGAAAGTGAAGAAAAATAATTTGTAAAGTAATCGTTATTATTTAGAAAAATAGGAAAATTTAACATAGTAGTGGCCTATGTGTAAACAACTTAAGAAAATTATTAAAATTCAATCTGTAGGATGGCAGGATTTAATAATATTTTTGTTCTAGATTGTTGTTGGTATCAATGGTATAAAAAAAACTAATTTCATAAACTTGTGATACAAATTGTTGGGGACATCGGTTTAACAGGAAAACCCGTTATCCGGACTAGCCTCGGTCCCGAGGAGTCTGGATGAGAGGGAGTCTACTGTACTTTCAGTATTCTGCCATTCTGCCTATGTCAATCAGACTCTGGGTCTGTCTAGCCTTCCAAGCCATTTACACAATACAAATTTTAACTATCATAATTTAATAGCAGTAGAAGTAGGTTTAGGTTCACTATTTCTCTGATAGGTATGTTGTCTTGATTTCATAACAAAAAAGTGCTAAATCATTCAATAAAAGGTACTAGCAAAGCTTCAAGTTACTGTAAAAGGTGTTATAGACTATCCTAATTTATCATGTAATGATAACAATAACATATTTAGGGGTAAATATGAATTAATTTCAATCGATTTCATAAATACCCAAAATACCCGGGTATTTCTGGATTATGGGTATTCCGCATTAAGTCGAATACAAACAGCTGTTTTCTCTCCTCCTCACTCAGTACTCAGTCCACATACGGACCCGTCCAGACCACGCCATACTGCCATCAGTATACCTCAATTAACCTTAGATTCGTAATGTTGACCTTCGTTTTACGATCATTTAGGAATCTCTCCGACAAAAACTGATTGCATTTTTGGATTCAGCGTGAAAAATACTGTAAGTAGACATCAAAAAAGTACATAATATCGCGTTGTTGATATTTCAAATATTTGCCCAAAATTTTATTGAAATCAGAAAACCTTGGGTGACAAGTCTACTTTTGGCTGGATGATTTGGCGTGGAATGACCCCTAGGCCTATCTTATAAGAAAAATTTGGCATTGTTAAAACCAGTGTCTGTACACGAGTAGGCCTAGGCTGGATCTCAATTAAATATTCAAGAACTAAGTTATGGAAAAACCAAATGTGAGTTGGGCCTATACAACTCTTTTAAGCCTACTTCAAAAGCCTAAGTAGTAATCCTAGGCTCTCTCTGTAACTTAAATACAAATTGTATTTAACTTAAGTTAGGTACTTACTATTCCCATATGCATATATATATATAGCCCATATAGCCTGAGTTCAAAACAGAGGGTAAAGTTTAAAATGGACTAAGTTACTGTATGTTAATATGCCTCAGTTAAATCTTACCAAAGAATTTGTCTGCTTCATCACTGTCATCAAATCCTGAATTGAAGTCTCGGAACTGGGGCGCATGATATTCATACACATTTGCCATTTTTTCCTTTAACACGAACACAGTAATACTGGTTAAAGAAGATTGTATGTCTAAGTTTTTGCCTAGGCCTAATTTATAAGTGGTAGGCTAAACAATACAAATCATATAAATTGTCCTAAATTAAGGGAACTCGGTACATTCACACCAGTCTTAAGTTACTTGGTTCAATAAATAACATTTGCATAACAAAAAAATTTAATCCAAAATTACGAAAAAACTAAATATAAATTGAGTAAAAATTAATTAGCCTAAATGTAAAAATAGATGCTTGAATCAAACTATCATTCGTAAACCACGACTCAACCTGTCCAAACTTCGAACAAAGGAAGTCGAAGTCAGACAGACAATAATGAGACAATCATAAGGACTTAGCTAGCAGCTTACTTAAATTAGTTACTTTACTTACCAAATCAAACTGAAAAACGAAATTTAATTTTGAAACTAGTCACATCACAACTACTAACTACTAGCATAAGTGTTTTTTTTTCTGTGAAGGAAATGTGTTAGTGTGTATTGTAAATCTGTGATTTAGATTGTGTGTCTGTGTGATGTGATGCTGCCTGCTGAGCTGAACGATGAACTTTGCCGCCTAATTCTAATCAATGTGACCAACCCAACTCAACTAGTAGTGGGTGTTATCATTGACTTTATATATAAGTTTGTATGACTACAGAGTAGTTAAAGGCGTGGGGTGTCATAGCTTATAATGTCATAGCTTATAATCGTGAATTTGTTCCATAGCTTATAATGTTGAAAATGTGGCATAGCTTATAATCAGTTATAAGCTATGCCACACTTTCACGAAAAATTATAAGCTATGCCACAATTTCTCTAAAACGTTATAAGGTATGACACATTTTCAGTTTCACAACTTATAATGGTCAAATAGTGGCGCAGCTTATAATTCCGATTCTGTTCTATAGCTTATAATCCTGATTTTGAGTCATACCTTATAATCCTGATTTTGGGGCATAGCTTATAATTGAAGAGAATGTTGCATTGTGGGAATGGCATCAGCTGCTCGCTTCAGTCAGGTCTACCATAAATACGATATTTTATGGTAGGATACGATAATTATTGTAATTGACCGTACTGACAACTGCGATATCGTAATTTATAACCTAAACATTTTTATTTAAATGTTTTAAACGATTTTTATACGAGAAATGGCAACAATTACATGCTATATGACAATGAAAATGCAAGAAATATTTATAGTGAGAAGTTAAAAGATATGAAAATGAAGTGAAGGATAACGGCATTGAAAATTAATGAATCTTGTCAATAGTCCGGCTGGTGTTGACAGAAGATAAAGAAGTGGAACAATAATTATTAATAAATTGTAAACATCAAAAAATTCCAAAACTATTGAGGTGTTGAAATCCAGTAAGTTGTGTTTTAATCCAATCCTGTTCCTAGGCCTTGTTATTCAAAGTAACAAAATGCAGTAGGCTATTATTTGCTTGAGTGTTATTAGGTTAAGTTAGTAGGTACAGTTGCCTAGCCTACTTAAGCTTAAGGTAGCTGTGACTCAAGTTACAGATTTCCTGTGACAGGCCTAAACAATTAACTTAATAAAAATATCAGTGAATGTATTTAACGGCTGCACTTTATTTTACGTCCTACACTCATTCGAATGAAAATATCGATTATTAGATTGTTTCATTCGATATATCGTTTGGTTAGTTAGGTTAGGTTAACCTTACCTAACTAACCAAATGATATAACTTATCTAATAATCGATATATCGATCGATATTTTCATTCGAATGAGTGTAGGACGTAAAGTAAAGTGCAGCCCTTAAGTTTACGTCCTACACTCATTTGAATGAGTATTAAGTATTCGAGTAGGCCTATATTCGATATAAGTAGGCTATCAAGTTTGTATCATTTGTGTAACCTTAGAAATGGTAAGCGTGATAATACTGAGCCAAGAGATTTAACTTGGGTAGGCCTACAGTTTCTTAACTGGGTACGCTAACTTAAGTTAATATATTTTATTGAACTACAGTATTGAATTAAAAATATTGATTAATAATAGATATTTTAAAATATACCTATCGAAGTTTATTATAAAATTAAATTATCATAACCTAACTTAACCAACCAAACTTGTTGATGGTGAAAAAATCGCATGTAGGTTTACTAATCGAATCGATAGTTTCAATAAAATTAGCGTAGCCCAGTTGAGAAACTGTACCCTTTAACTTATTCTACCATCAATACTGTTAATACTATTCAATGAAATGGCGACGATACATATTAGGTATTTTAAGCCAAGTATGAATGGAAATTTAGTAGTCTATAAAATAACTTACAATAGGCAACGTCACAAAACTTAAGTTAGGTTAATTTCACACAGTAAACAAGGCAGCAAACCATGCAGTTAACTTATGGCAAAAAAACATGTAACTTAGGCTACCTAAGAAAATGAAATTGTGACACATACCTGAGTACATGAATAAAATTACAAATTAGGCAAGTAGGCCTATGGGTCAACTTTTTTCATATTAGCCCAAGCCCACCATACTTACAATTGATTGTAATTGGCAAAGGCAAATATCCTTGTATTATGTTTCTTTCATAACCTAAAATCAAATGAAAATTCGGTTTGAAGGTGTAAGGCGGGATAAATCTGAATGAGTTCGCGAACTAGCATGATCGGGCCATGGGACCGGGTTTTAATGAGTTCTATGCAGAGAAGGGGCCTAGGCCAAAAAATGGGGTTTTCTCATTTTTTACCCTTAAAACACAAAATTTATCAATTATTCTCTAGACCTTTCTAAAGAAATTAAAAAAAAATAATATGTCATCTATGTATCGTGTTGTGTATAGTGGAGTCGTGGATTAGTTGTGTCAGTTAACTGTGTGTGTGTGTAAGTGTTCGCATAAAAAACTCAAGCTAACCGTTGCACCTATAGTGTTAAAAAATTGCACGAATCTTAATTATGACACCAATGGAAAGACACCATAAAATTTAGACGATTCCGTTCAGTAGTAATTATAAAACCCTCAAAATACATTTTTAAATTTGTCCCATAAGAATAACATTAGAAGCTACCTTCTTCTACTTTTTATTTGTTTATGTTTTGCGACCAACAAAAAGCTTAATTTATATTTTAAACTATATATATATATATAGGCCTATATAGGCTATATTTATATTTATAAATCAAACTTGAAAGCTTTATTTTATACTAAGCTATTAATGTTTTAATAAAAAACACACTTTATTAGTTCCACCTGGGTAATGACACTTGGGTCCGAGAGAACCAGTGGCCTTCGAGTTTTTTAATTTTCATCTACCAATCCAAATATTTGTACAAAGAAAATATGCCCTACCTTGAGCTATAGTTCTATACTAGCTGTGTACCCGTTCTACGCACGGGGATCTTATAATATTCAGTTGAAACCTTCTTATATAACGAACAGCAGTTGGTTTGCATATTTTAAGATATGCTGGCCAAACTATTATACATAGCTTCATTTTATGTTGTTTTTTGTTGTTCCGGATCGGTATGACAATCAATAAAAGGTTAAATTACCTCTGTGTCTGCCGGTCGATCCTATAACGGTAGGCTTACTTTTATTTTTACTATCTGATCTCGTTTGCATGGCTCAATCACGTCCTGGTTGAAGTTCGTTCGCTACGCTCACTCACCTGTATGTTGGAGCTCGTTCGCTGCGCTCACTTTCCTTCAGGTTAGCTCGTTCGCTACGCTCACTTGCCTTCAGGTTAGCTCGTTCGCTACGCTCACTCGCCTCCAGGTTGCAAATTAGCTGTTGTCATAAATGTAAAAGAAATAATAGTGCTAGTGCTGCACCCTGTTGGTAATCCTTGTAACTTTAATGCTATTGAACATCACAGAACAGAACCAACTTGTTTAATTGAAACAGCTGTTAAGATTCAATAATTTCATTTCTCATAAGGTTAACATGGGCTTCCAGAAATTCCACGTCAAAAATCGACAAAAACTTGATTTTCAAGGGTTTACTGTTAAATATCTAACTGTCTCATATTCGATGAAATACGTCTAAAACCATCTCATATATGTATAGTATTTGGAAAATAAGTTTCAGGCGGGACAGTGCTATAGTTATTGAGGAGTAGTTGTAATAAAGTGTGTATTTTAGCGTTACCAAGAGAATGACAGATAGACAGACAGACAGACAGACAGACAGACAGACAGAAATTGAGATAAGGTTTGATTCGGTTTCTCTGACCTATGAAATGTAAAAATAACCAAAAAGTTCATTATTCTAAGCAATGTACAGACAAAACTCTAATTTTATTTATATAGATTCTGTTTTTACTTTTAACAAGAAGTAGGCCTGAATGATGTACACTGCCTATTTTTGTTCCAGGTAAATTTTCTTGTAAAGCTTGGAGCATTGCAAATGTTTGGTGTTAATGTATGAGAGTACTTCACATGTAAACAATATTGATGAAGTTGTCTGCTTATTTGGGGCCAAATAAGAAGGAGAGAAATTTTCTTGGAAAAGAATCGAAAGCAATAAAGATAAGTAAGTTTGGCTAATTTATCAATATGATTAAAAAGCATTTTCAGTCCTTGTTTAACATTAACTTATGATGTGCTGTGGCGGTTAAGTTTTTATATTTGGAAAAAATACACTTTAATCAACTTACAGCACTGTTCAAGTTTCAGAGTTACCTATGGTGACAGAATAATACAAGGCATGTTATTTAAGTAAGTACTGTTTTTAAATTTCTCCGTTTCAGTGCTGCAATTGGCATTTTGGACATTTGTGCTGTGTATGTGGATGTATTGGCAAGCCTGCGCTGGAAATTTCGGCTGTGTTTACATCCGGTTTAGAGCATTCAAAACGGTGCCGCCAATTGAGACTGCCGTCGCCTGTGAAGTTTGCGCTGTACCGGTAATTAGATTTTTAAGTGCTAAAGGTGTGAAAGCCATTTAAATTCATTGTCAGATTAGTGAAGTGTATGGGGAGAAAATTATGAGTGGCGGAATTGTACCTACGCAGGTGGGTAAGGGCATTTAAAGATGGCCGCACCAACGTCCATGAGGAGCAACGCACAGGGTGGCCATCTATCAAATTGTCATGGTGATTTCCAGGATGTGAATCCGTTATCTTTGGAACCGGAGACTTACGCTGTACAACTACACCAGTCTAAATATGTGGAAAGATCAAGTTATTTGTTTATAGTTTATTGCCCCCACACAACTGGTAACAATAAAGTAGTTTCACATCTTTTTGTGGTAAAAAAATGTTAATACCAGCACAGAATTAAATTAGTTATTTTTCCCCAACACCCATTAAACCTTAGATACGAGTGAAAATTTGAAAACGTACGTTTTCATGTCCCTGGCCTTTTACTTCGTAGATACTGGATTTGTAGTTTATTATTATGTGTTTTAATATTTTTTGGGACGGGGGCAACACGTTACACACATTTATTTGGTTTTAAATAGGTTCTAGGTATTTTTTTCGTATTTTTAAAGTCTCAAAATTCACGACCATGACATGTCCCTAGAGTACATTTTCCAACTTTCACGCTGTTTTTAGACTAATTATTCATGCCG